GAGCTATTGCGAAAAAAACCCTATGGGGCGGACCCGCCCCCCCCTCGGCCGGCGAGGGCTAGGTCAAGGTTTTCCGGAATCGGAGGATGCCTCCTCAAAACATGCTTTTCGCCACTAGCGCGTGCATTCCGCACCCCCTGATGCCGGGCATACCATATGTTAGTGGTCAAACACTGAGACATGTGACCTGTGAGCTTGGCACCTGTGCCGCAGTGCCGACGCACGTGGCCGGCACGCGCCATGTGACACCGGGTGACCTGTGACATGCATCATCACCTGCCTCAAGGCATTACCCGTCGAACGGTACCACCAGCATCTCGATCCGAGCATCCGTTTAGACGCAATTCTAATTGTATTGGCTCGATGACCTTCCAGAGCACGGTTTTTTCGCAACGTAAGATGGCGCCTTGTCAGCTTCACCTGAATGGAGGTGGTTGCGGGTCCAGTTTATTTATACGTCCGTGCTTTGAACACAGCGCGAGAATTGGTAGCTGAAATACTGAGAAAAGTGGTTCGCGCCTGGTTGGCGCACATTCATTACACAGACGATCAACTTAGGGGAAGCCGGGGGAAGCCCGGCATAGTAAGCTGATAAGCTCTTTTTCATTTTTATTGCATACCTTGCGTGCTGACGCTGTACCTATACAATGTTGAAAATCCTGATAGCTAGATGAGTTAATTGGCCTGTTTGCCCAAAAACTCGGCTTTGTGGAAATAGTATAAAGTTGCGAAATTCAAGTTTTAAAAAAGTATTGATTTTTCTGGGTTAACCCTCGACAGTATAGGGGGGGGGGTCGAACAGACCCCCCCCCCCCTCGGTTTTTGGCGAATAACTCGCGTGAAAAAGCGACCGATCGCGACGAAACTTTCAGTACCCTCGCGTTAATCAATTTTACACCTACCCTGAAATTTTCATGACCCTGACCTTAATGCCCTTTGACCTGTGACCTACTTTTCGAGACCATGTTTGGCCTTAATCGCGATTCGGCGTATGTCGGCTCGCATTAGCCGCGCGTTTGTAGTCTTTTCGTGGTTTTAAGCGTTCAAACATGGGATATGATGTTGCTCCCATGCATTAGGGTGCAGGTGTCAAGGTCACCGGAAGGTCAGGTCAGGTTATTGACCTTTGATGACCTCGGTTCACTTTTTCGAGTTTTACATGTTTCTAGGCCAGTTTTTGGAGATGAATTCGAATTAAGCAACCATATGAACATTTACGAAGTAGTTTTGGTGCCTTCGTAACATGTTACGAAGCTGTCAGAGGCGGTTGCCACCTACTACGAATACCCTTACTGGTTGACATGACCTGACCTGACCCGACCTGGCCTAAATGCGTTAAGACATCATCTGTGATCAAAACAAACATGATATTCGTGATCAGCACCCCGAAAAAAAAAACCATAGCAGCCACGCTTTACGACTTTCTAACAGGTCCCGATTTTCCCGACTTTTGGGTCATTGACCTGACCTAGAAGGTCAACCGATGACCTAGGATCTTAAAATTGGGTATCATCGGCTTCCTCTCGTGACGGGCAACACGCTCGTTTTTTTCCGCGAAGCTCTATCTCGATCAGGGGCGAAACGGCAAGGGAGGGTCCAACGGACCCCCCCCCCCCCCTTATACGTTCGCGGCTGGAAAAACACCGAGGGTTAAGCCCGGCATAGGGACAACGCCGGCCACCTCTCCAGCGCTTTACAACGAGTTGATGGAACCTTTATTGTCTTCAAAATATTGACGGAAAGTGAAATATTAAGGTACTGTTTAGCTCTGGACATCTTGGAGTTTATGTCACTTCAGGTATTTTAGCTAGCGTCTACCACATACATACATAGCACGGGTCGATGAAAATCGTGATGCAAAATAGAAAAAAAAATGTGTGTTTTTAGATTCGTTTAAATTTTTTTTCCTTTACCTACATGCATTATATTGCATATCATTCGCTTCGGCTGATCAAGAAGAACACAATGAAACCATTTTTGAAGCTCTAGCTTCATTGTTTGTCAGGTTATCTGCAAAAACGTAGTTTCACCCTAGTTGACCTCAAGTGACATGGCCGTTCTTGTAGCATACAAACATAAGCTTAGTCACATATTGATATAAACTGATAGTGTAACCCAAAGCCGTTAAAATGGAGCGGATGTCTCCCATGTTTTTACAGTAAAAAACAGACAAGCAATCGCCCTTCATCCATAACTGATAGCTATGCGCACTGGAATAGAGCGTCAAGCTGAAGATGCTTTGTCTATGATAACATGGTTATTTTCGAGGTTTAGGGGAGAGTGGGGTGGGTTGTATCAGTTTTTACTCCGAGACCCATAACCTCGTAACTATCCGTGATAAACTCATTATTTCCATACTATCTCCTTCCTTGATTCTTCTGCTTTTTTGTGCAAAGTAACTTTTCCGCTACCTCTACTAGTTTTTCTTCTACGGTCTGCCGAATAGAACAATGTTTTTGATACAACTTGCCCCATGGCTTGGGTGAGTTGTATCACATGGTGGGGTAATTTGTATCACTATTTCACGTTTCAGGGAGTGTGCTTGCTACTGGTTTCGAACATAACAACAACATTAAATGGGGTTAATACAATGTATATGCTCAAAGGCTTCACTTTTATTAGACCAAACTTAGGTCAATCCGAACGAAACATCGAAACGAACGAAACATCAACATCAACAGACTAGACGCAAAAGTGACCCGTTAAGAGCAAAGCAGCCAACACATTGTGCCGAAATGGAACGAGTATTGACTAGCTACCTACAAACGCGAGCCAGGGCTTAGCTTTCGCGATCAAAAGCAACATACCTATACATACATACATGCATACATGTTACAACATACCCCACCCGGCTCTGATACAACATGTACCTCGCCGCCATCTTGGAAAAAAACTTCCTCGTGCTCAAAAACAGCGGACAGCTGGAGAAATCCATTTTCACTCACGCAGCCTTAGAACCTACCCTCACCACCGCTACGGAGATCTTTCAAATTCGTGCACATCTAAATGCCCAAAACACACATTTTCCTGCAACTTATTTTTTTAGAATGACATTAAAAAAACATAAAATCGGCTCTCACCTCGAGACGCGTCCACCCAGCCACACGACAGAACAGGGAAAGGTGGCGTCCGGAAAACCTCGTCGGCTGGTCGTGTCACGAGCGCTATCTATTGGATAAGTTTGGCACAATTCGCCCTGATACAACTTGGACATGATACAACTCACCCCGCTCTCCCCTATCTTTGGGCGAGGTCTAAACCAAACCTACTCAGTATCTATTATCTCATGGAAAACAGGGGTTTAGTGGCATTGCTCTCGGTTAGGGGTAAGCTCGGCCATTCGCCCGGGGTTACCCCAATGTGCTAATTTTATTTTTGCTCTATAACTTTAACCCACTGAACTCTATAATGTGGAATGCGCATCGGCCGCCAAATGGTGTCCAACGGTGCCGCCATGTTGCGCAGACCAGAAAGCGGCCGCCGCCTGTGCTGGGGAATAGGGAATTCGGGACCTCGATTTACGTTTGCGGTCGCTGCATCCGTTACGCTCAAGCTATGTGGACACGGAACCCGGCATCTTACGCAGAATTGAGTGGAGAACAAGATGAAATCCTAAAAAATCCTCAGCTACAAGGAACTAATACGTTAAACCCTTATAAGTCAATGGGGAAATATGAAAATTGCTATTTTGGCGCCGAGAATGATCTGAAACTATCTCAAGCATATAGAATCATGATTTCATGCACTTTTTGCAAGGTTCTATGCTTCATATTTGCATTGTTGCCCTTGCGTGACGTCATCTGTGACGTCACAAGGGTCACAATTTTTCTTCAATAACTCCCGATCAAATTGAGCTAGCGAGTCGGGAAAGCCACCAATGGACTCAGGAAGACCTGCCGAATCAAATGATATGCGACATGACCTCTTTCGACCAACTTCGTGACCTAGGGGTGCTGACCTGACCTTGACCTGAGGTCAACACCCTAAGCTGACCTGACCCGAACAAAAAGTATATCACTCGATGCGCCTGAGCTAGCTGAACACGATGATGCCAAAATCGCGGCTCTACGGCCATTTTTGGCGAAGCTATTTACCAAAAACCGAACCCGTGCCTTAGATCACTTGACCTGACCTCAGAGGTCACCGGTTGACCTGAGACCCTTACAGCGGGTTCCTACCAGTCACTCTGCATTATACTTTGCCGCATACGACCACTTTACCGCTTAATTCTAGTTTAATTAGCGGTGCATTAGCGAGGTGGGTTCAATCAACCCCCTCGGCCGGGGCAAATGTAGGTCAGGCGAGTGAATTTGAGGAATTCTGAAGATACGATCGTGTTCCCCACTCAATTCTGCGTAAGATGCCGGGTTCCGTATCTACGTAACTTGAACGTAACGGATACGGCGGCCGCAAACGTAAATCGAGGTCCCGAATTCCCTATTCCTCAACACAGGCGGCAGCCGGTTTCTGGTCTGCGCAATATGGCCGCCACCGTTAGACACTACGGCCAATAGGGTTGAAGCGGCATTGCTCCCCTGTGCTTTAACCATATACAATTTTTGTTTAGCCTTAACTTTTGTGCTGCGTTGCCTCAGCTGCACCACGCTGCAAGGACAAACAGTTAAGCATTTTATTGTGAATAATTTAGCCGGAAACGGGATGGCCGGGCTTTCCCCACGGCCGGGCTTCTCCCGGCTTCCCCATAAAGCTTACAAAACTCGTTACTGACAGCCCAAGTATTCATAGGAGCTGTGATTAGTTCCGAAAAATTACCGGGCTATGCTAACTCTCCCCAACACAAAATGTTATAATCGATGAGTTTTCATCCGCACGAACAACACAAGAGTTTCTTAGCACATATGACTAGAAAAGTTGTGCATTTGGGTTTGGGCTATGAGCCGACAATATCCTTTTAATCCTCTAGTTTTGTCTTTGCCGCGCGCCGCAGCGGCCGGCCGAGTCGTCAGCCGTGTGTGTACCTATGTGTGACCTTGCACTGCCGAGGACAGCAGGCCCGTCGCGGCCGGCCGCTATAAAGGCCGCCGCCGGCCGTCCACCGACACAGTATCGCTCACCTCACCTCTCCACTCACATCATGAAGCTGCTGGTAAGCGGCTAAATGCACTGTAGTGACAAAGTATCGTCCGAAAAGATTACAATTAACTTTCGGCTTTCGTCTTTGCCAACTTCTTTGCCATTTCTATAGGAAAATATGTAAAGAATGGTGGTGAAAGAATGTGTTAGCATATCGCTTCCATCATTAATTTTCAACACTAAAACCAGCAATGCGTGCACCATTGCGACTGTTTCCATAGCACGCTACCACCAGCCAGAATGCCCTGCAGCTTTCGCTGACGGTCGCCGCCCGTTTCAGGCGCTGCTGGTTGTCGTCGTCGCTGCCGCCGCAGTGGCCGAGGCCGACGGAGGATATGGCCACCAGACGTGAGTACCCAGCGCTCAGACGCGCCACTCCGTGTAGCTCTGTGTCAGCTGTGTACACTGGCCGAACACCGGTACAGAGGTGCCGGCCGCGGCGGTCGTCCGGTGCTCCCCGCACCCGCTCACAGCCGCCCACAGATGGCCGGCGCCCGTGTCTGGCCGTTCGTCCGATATACTCACACCCGTACCGGCGTACCCTGCCCCGAGTGTGACCCGAGCCCCGGCGCCGCTGTCCGCAGACACTACCCGGTCAAGACGATCGTCAAACACCGCCGCTACCCGGTGGTGAAGCACCAGCCGTACCCGGTGGTGCGCCGCGTGCCCGTCTACAAGCCCGTCCACAAGACGGTCGTCAAGCACGTGCCCCAGCCGTACCCGGTCGTCAAACACGTGCCCGTCGTCAAGCACGTGCCCGTGGTCAAGGAGGTGCCCGTGGTGAAGCACGTGCCGGTCGTGAGGCGCGTGCCCGTGGTGCAGCACAAGTACCATGTCAGGAAGGTGCCCGTGCACGTTCCCGTCTATGTGCAGAAGCCCTCTTACGGCTACGGCCACCATTAAACTTCCGGCATCTATAAATTAATCCATTTCTCCTTCCTGCACTGCCGCGCTGTGGTCTGGTGTCTTCCGACCGCGCCCACCCACAGAAACCCTCATCCGGCCCCTGGGCGGCGCCCTCCCGGCTCTCGGGGTGCTGCAGACCATGTCCGCCGCACTGGAGCGTCTGTCTATGCCGCGCTGTGTTACCGCCCATGTGTTGTGAACTGCCTGTGTATGCTGCGATAGCACCCCTGTGCTGTCAAATATACAGTATATATCGTGTCGAGAGGCTTTGAGAGCAGTGGGAGGCGCATTTATGAAAAGGGCAATGGCTAATAGGGGCATACACGGTACTTTGAAGGCTGAATGCACTTGCACACATACTCAAATCACTGACTAGTGATGTCAATTACGGAAAATTGGAATGCCGATACCAAACCAAATACCAATCAAAACCACGGGAAAATACCGAAACCAAACCAACTTGAGAAAATGAGGGAAATACCAACTTTTTACCGATTTCTTAGCCTCTTATACATTAGTGAGGGTTTATGATACCAACAAAATACCAAACACATTACGATTGAAATACCAAATACCAAGTTGGTATCGGTTTGGTATCGGTATACCAAAAAGTTGGTATCCGATTGACATCTCTATCACTGACGGTCAAATCTCAACTCGCTGGAAAGAGGCTTCCTTTGAGCTGGGACCGTACTAGTCTAAGATGGGGCCATGGACGCTGTCATTTGACTCTTTTCAGTCTGCTAAATAGGCCGTGCACTGCAAGATCTTTTCAAGGATTCTTATTTAACATACGGCGGCGGCGCTAATGAGTATATGATATTTGAAGACTCAGAAAATACAAGTTCTTTTCTCGATGGTAAATGTCTGCATCTCGAATGCAAATGTTTTTAGTTTTTACTGAAGAAAAATTTCAAACATAGATTGAAGATCTTTAAATTGAGTAGCACTTAGTCTTACGAACAAACTAATATAAGAGACGGACTTATTCTTGAAGCATTCCAAGGAGCATTGGTCGTCTCGAATCATCGATTGTATGTTTCCATACTCAGAACTCACACAGGCGTCTCTTTTTACTTTATTGGTGAGGCTTTAATAGTAAATTTGGGATGCCTAAGTCATGTCTACGATGCAAGGTAATAGGGCTAATGCAAAAATTTCGAAATTTTCTACATACCTATAGGTAGGGCTTGAACCCTACCCCGCCATACATTATACATAAAACGTCACACATGTATACGTAGCTCGCGCATGATCGGGGGGGGGGGTCTATAGAGCCCTCCTCCTCATGCTTTTCTGCAATATCTTCCAAACCGCTGGGCGTATTGACACGAAACTTTCGGGATCAATTTGACACCTTGTGTCTGAAGAAAAACATCGATAGGACTAGGTACCATAAGTCGGCCGGAAATGATTTAAACTGACTTAAAATTTCATTGACCTAGCTTGACCTAGCCTTTACCTGAAAGTTGAAACATAGGTATGAAATACAAGCTCGGTACACTTAGGATATTCAGCACAAATTTGCAAGTGTATAAACCCAAATTGAGCACGATGTACCTTTTCAAGCGACGGCCAGAGCCTAAAGTGTGAACATGCACAAATGTTAAGAATGTTTACTTTGCCCTGACCTGTGACGTCATCGGTGCCCTATGCGCCAATGACATTAGACTTAGTTCAACAGCTTTCCAGGGTTATCGAGCGCCTTTCGAATTTTGATAATTGGACTAGTGGTTTGGGAGGTAAGAAGGGCTCCGTAGAGCCCCCTTCCCCTCCCCCCCCCCAAGTCACTCGTGTTATGGAATATACCCCAATCATGCGCGGGTTAAACAAGGAACCACGCATCAAATCTTTTTACTGGCCTGCTGCAACAGACAACCGCTGCAAGTTATGAATTCCAACATATGAATACCTTTATATCGCTGACCGACGACCGGCCAGAAATGATAACATCACTCATACTGTGTGGCATCAGGCGTGGTTGCACAGAATTAATGGCTTACGCTGCACACTTGAAATGAATTGCCTTTTCCTCATTCGTAAACGGTACCGAGGTTGCGCTGTTATTCAGATTATTTGCCAATATTATGCATGGATATGGATATGTATTGTCTTTTTTCTAAGATGGTGTGATAACCAGAATCTGCACTCTACCGTAGTGCGTAGCTATTCTTTTGAAGCTAGCGAACTTTTGTGTAGTGTGCATTTTCACTTTACGTAGCTTCTTTGTGTTATTTTGCATAACTGCACTTTGCAATTGAAGTTGACTTTAAATAGCTCGAAAATTTTTACTTTTTTGGCTATTTCAAAGTGATAGGCCTTAATAATTATGATAACCAGTGGTGAGAGGCCTTACATAAATATGAAAGCATGTTTTATTAATGTATGTATATGTCATTATCAATATTTTTAGACGAATAGTTTTAATCAGCATAAAATGGCTAGCGAATGAAAGGCTGTCTTCAAAAAATGTTTCAATACAAGATAAATGAAAATACTTATGCAAATATACCTACCTTGCAAATCGGCATCCGCGTTTTGTGTGATTTACGTCGTTTAGTATGCCTACGCCCTACAGTACGTCATGCACTGATCTGCCCATAGCGCACTTGTTTGTGGGAAAAAGCGTTTGGTCTCACACAGATCCAAGTGAGGTATCGGTGCCCGTGAGTTGAGTGTCTCATGCTTCCGTGGTTTGTGTGGTGAGTTTTTCGAATGGTCAGACGCCTAACACTGCTCTGATGGGCGCCGAGCCGGACCGGCGACGCGAGTCGGACCTACGCGGGAGTCCCGCCCTGGCCGTGTCGTATGTGCCCTGTCCCGGACTGTGCATCCCGGTTTGCGTCCCGTGAGACAGCCGACATCGCACGGTAAGTGTCTGGAATGACAGCCCCTGCGTCCGACCACCAGCCCCGGCCTGATTGACGCATATATGAGATAACTACAGTGATGGCGCTTCGATAGCAATGTTCCCTGTCGACTGTAAGTCAGCAACAGCGTGGCAAGTACAGACAAAGTCGTGCATCACATAGAGTCGGTGTATTCAGTGCATACGTCGTATACAAACGTACACCACAGTTGACACATTGCAGATGGAGCAGGCAGTGACCAGTCGGGGTACGGCAACATGGCTCGCAGGCCACAGGCCATCAGACATGGGGCTCGGCGCTGATTGGCCACATGAAATATAAATATCACACAGCGCGGATGCAGACGGAGGGATGATAGCTGCAGGGGAAGTTTGCGGCTGCAGCCGGCTCAGTGGTGGCCGTACCCGCCGTGGCCGTGGCCGTACTTGGGCTTCTCGACGTAGACGGGCACCTTGACGGGCACCTTCTCCTCGCGGTAGTGGTGCTTCACCACCGGGTAGTGCTTCACCACCTCCACGTGCTTCACCACCGGCACGTGCTTCACCACTGGCACGTGCTTGACGACGGGCACGTGCTTGACGACCTGGTACGGCTGGGGCACCTTCTTGTAGACGGTGTTGTAGACTGGACGGTAGACGGGCACCGGCTTAATGACCTCGTAGGGCACGCGTTTCACCACTGGGTACGGGTGATGTTTGACCACGGTGCGCACCGGCTGATACCTGGGGAAAACAACACAGGGGTTAAATGGCGGCACATTCTTGCTTTGGAGAACACAACGCCGAAAATATCAGACATTTTGCACCTTATGCGAGAAGCGACTGCTTGAAAAGAATTCACCCATGTCAGGCGAATATTTAGTGACAGCCGTGCACTGCAGTGATGGCAGGGAGGTGGAATTACCCGATGTGCTCCGTCTGGTAGCCGCCGTAGCCTCCCCCGTGGTGTCCGCGCCGGCCACCGCCCAGGCCGAACGCCTGCGTCGAGGCTACCACGGCCAACAGCACAGCCTGGCGAACACGGCACTCGGATCAGATCGACGACACTTGGCAGTTTGCAAATGTGAGGCACCCTATACTCGTCACTCGAGTCTAGAGGTGACGTACCGCTTAGACATGTGCATAACGTCTATGCAGAATCTTATTTATTTTGCTTTGATTTTATAGCTGAAGACCCTGTGAGCTATGACAAAAAAGCCTCAAACTATTTGATTTTAACATGGTTATTCACATAGTTGTCTTGATTACTCGCAAAAACTGATAAAAAGCTAAAATAATTAGATGACCTAGAAGTAGGTCACAGTAAGCAGTGCCGCTTACCAGCAGCTTCATGATGTGAGTGGAGAGGTGAGGTGAGCGATACTGTGTCGGTGGACGGCCGGCGGCGGCCTTTATAGCGGCCGGCCGCGACGGGCCTGCTGTCCTCGGCACTGCAAGGTCACATACACACACACGGCTGACGAATCGGCCGGCCGCTGCGGCGCGCGGCAAAGACGAAACTAGCGGATTAAAAGGATATTGTCGGCTCATAGCCCAAAATCAAATGCACAGCTTTTCTAATCACATATGCCAAGGATTATGCTTGAGTTGTTACTTTTTAGCATGCATTACAATTCATCGACGATAGGTAGATAATAGCCGTTTTCACGACGGCCATCTGGTACACATTTGGTGCACATTTGGTGCAGATTAGGTGCAGATTTCGTCAAATTAGGCTCAGTGTGTCTCTTAGTAGCTATCAGCTAGAGTTGCACTAATTGCTTATATGCCTGCTTTGTCATAATATCAGAAAGTATCATCGATTAAAATACTGAAATAAATGCATAAGATAAAGATTTTTGCTGTAAAAGAGATTAGGTGCAGATTTGGTCAAATTAGGTGCATTCGCCGGGTAGTCCGTCATGAAAACGGCTATTATGTGTTGGGGAGGATGGGTATTGGCGGGTAGTTTTTTCAGGTCACCACACCTTCTACCTACTTCGGTTGCCATTAACGGATTTTTGCAAGCTTTACTTTGTATGCATTTCAGCGCTTTTATGAGAGACAAAGCTAAGTAAGTTAAATAGCTTGCTCTAGGGACCGGATGTAATTTTTAGTCGGCATGATGTGATGAGTGATGAAAGTGGGTTTAGGGGCACCGACCATCAGCGCAGCCGGCAGTGCCCCAACAGTCGGGTCACTAAACTTACGGGCAAAACAAGCGTTCAGACAGTTGGCACGCTCCCCTAGTTATATAGACGGTCATCACGTTCCAAGACCGGAGACACTTGTGATGACGACTTAATAGCTAAAACAAACTACCAGTAACGTTTGGGGTTGTCTTTAAAGTCGTCAACAAGACTCAGGAGGTACTGACGGTATATCGTGGCTACTACCGATTTAAACTCTGCCCCCGCGGCAAAAAAAAACTGATGTAGGTTCTCCAAGGATGGATCCACTTTTTTACGGCGAAAGGCTTGTCCCTTTTTACGAAGGAGATCCCTGACTGACCAGTCAAACCAAGGTGGATGCTTAGTCTTCAGTTCTACAGTCGGGATGTGATCGAAAATGGCAGCCAGAACAGACCCGTAAAACATTGAAGCAGCACCATCTACGTCGCATCCACGCAAACAGCTTCACGGCAAAAGACGCAGAGTACCTACCTAAGTAGTGCGGAGACCTTCAAAGCCCGCCTGCTTGTAGTTGTAGGCTCTCGTTCTGGATACGCGCGCAGTGCGACAACAGCTCACAGATAATCACGTCACTACCACTCGGTGATCTGAGTCAAAAATGCCATCGACTGGCTCCGAGACTGCAGCCGCACCGTGTGTGAGAGCCAAGTCCAAGATATTGTCACTGCACGTGGGGTACATCACTGACTGTTGCACGTCACATTCAGTCAGAATATCGAGGACAGTTATTGCACGAGTGGTGCGTCTAAGTACACAAGGCCAATCGCCGCGAACCCCAGGAACTGGCAGCCCTAATCGTCACTAACAGCGCCATCCGGGAGACACAATCTAGGCAAGAACACCTATTCAATCTTCTGCGTCCGCGCCTGGAAACAAGCAGGCGGCGAAATGCAGTCTGCCAGCTCACCTGTCGCAGCTGCCTCCCGCCCGCTTAGCCCGCTCAGTTAAACTGCCGCGATTGTGGACGGGGAGTCAATGCATCGCCGCTGACCAGCGGGATGGGTGAGTGACAAGCAGGTGGGTGGGTGGGCAGGCTGGGGCTGGGGTTGTTCTACGGAAGTAGAACAACATACGGTTGAAGTAGTGTCCGTGATTTGACGTGAGTGAATGTAGTTTAGATCAGTAACCGCGGATACAGATTCTGAGCAGTAATCGCTACGTTATTTGATAATGTGGATCGCTCTTGAACGTACAGTGCAATGCACACTTAGGCGGTACTTGTGCTGTTTTGACTCTGGTGTCTGTCGGTGTGTGGTGCGTCTGAGTCTCCCGTGCTGTTGGCGTGCGCTGCGTCTGAGTCTCTAGTGCTGTTGGTCTGTGTTGCGTCGAGGTCTCTAGTGCTGTTGGCATGTGCTGCGTCTGAGTCTCCCTGTTGGCGTGTGCTGCGTCGGAGTCTCTAGTGTTGTTGTTCTGTGTTGCGTCGGAGTCTCTAGTGTTGTTGGTCTGTGTTGCGTCGAGGTCTCTAGTGCTGTTGGCGTGTGCTGCTTTGAGTCTCTAGTGCTGTTGGCGTGTGTTGCGTCGAGGTCTCTAGTTCTGTTGGTCTGTGTTGCGTCGAGGTCTCTAGTGCTGTTGGCGTGTGCTGCGTTTGAGTCTCTAGTGCTGTTGGCGCGTGTTGCGTCGAGGTCTCTAGTTCTGTTGGTCTGTGTTGCGTCGAGGTCTCTAGTGCTGTTGGCGTGTGCTGCGTTTGAGTCTCTAGTGCTGTTGGCGTGTGTTGCGTCGAGGTCTCTAGTTCTGTTGGTCTGTGTTGCGTCGAGGTCTCTAGTGCTTTTGGCGTGTGCTGCGTTTGAGTCTCTAGTGCTGTTGGCGTGTGCTGCATTGGAGTTTCTAGTGCTGTTGGGCTGTGCTGCGTCTGAGTCTCTTATATATGTGCCTTTGGTGTGTGCTGCGTCGGAGTCTCTGGTATTGTTGGCGTGTGCTGCGTCGGAGTCTCTGGTATTGTTGGCGTGTGCTGCGTTGAAGTCTCTGGTGTTGTTGGCGTGTGCTACGTTGAAGTATCTCGTACTGCTGCGTGCTGTGTATGAGTCTCTCGTGCTGTTGTTTTGTGCTGCGTTTGAGTTTCATGTAGGTACTGTTGCTTTGTTAACAAATGTAATTTTCGAGAGTTAATACACTTTCAACTCGGCAGCGTTTGCCACCGCATGTAGGGGAAGGAGGGTGAATTGCGCCACCTTAAGGAAAAACGCTAATTGTAAGAAAACTGCTGGAAATATAAGCATGCACTTGTAGTCATTTCAAAGAGGAACTCATTGGCTACGATTTAAGAGTCTTCCGATCAATTAAGAATGTTTCGTTTGCTTCTGACAGCTGCTTTTTCAGAAACATGCAAAAGGGCGCATTTGCCAACAACTGCTGTAAATTGCGCCAGGGGGATGGCGCAATTAGAACTTAAATGCGCCCTATACTTTAGCATGGCTAAGCGAATGAGACGAAATGCATACACTCCGGCAGTCTAATGTCATTGCGGCTTACTTTAACATTCATAATGTTATTCACGCTGGTTGAATAATAAATGTAGGTGTAAATCGCGATGTTTTTTTGCCCAGGTAGATAACTTTACGTGTGTCCGTATGCTTGTAAAAGTGCAACGAAAACGTTTACTGTAACCGACTAGATTTATGTGAACGTATGCGCCTATATACGGTTACATTTTCAATCGTATCTCTCAAAATTGATAATTCTTATCGCTTCGACAGCTTTATGACATCAGTTTTTACTTTTTATCATAGCTGTCACCTCCCACGCCTGAGTCCATGTTGAAATTGTTGTATTTTGTCAATTACCTACACCACAAGTTCGTAGCCTAAATGGCAGCTGCATTATAAGTTTGACGAGAGAAATAATTTGCGGACTGACGACAGTGGGTTGCTCCCCTGCCTGACCTTAAACTCCTTCTTTATTGCAATCAGTTAATGATGCATTCATACTGTCGTGACACAATAGCTACACCATTATTCTATTTGCGCCCCCCTGGCGCAATTGCCATGGGCGCAATTAAAATTGAGGTACTTTTTAATAAAAGCGTAGAAGTTATCATAAAGATGTTGAAGGAAGTTTACTGTTGGCAGTGAAATATAATGAAAAAAGGGTTTTCTTTCTGAATATCACTCTGAAAACCACACAAATATCACACATTTTTATAGCCAACGGTTCAAAATACTGCAAAAAAGCTAAGAAAACGTCGTAACATCTTTGATGGCGTAATGAGCCTTGCTGATTGGCTTCATGGGAGAGCTTGGGCTATAAAAGGGACTGTCTAGTGGGGAAAATAATGTTTTCGAACACAAAATTCAAAACATGCCATTGAATCCGGGGAATGTTGGTGGGCGCAATTGGTTAGGAGGGTGCAATACACCCACTTTCCCCTACGCTCAATTGGCATGGGCATTTTAAAAGTGATCTAATTTCTATACAACTCTGCCCTACCTACCTAGCGTATGTGCTCCATGTAGCTATGCAGCTCTTAATATTTGCAGTTTAACAGCATACAGCAGTTACTATTGCGTTTAGCGGTATCAGTGCCAGCGGTAGGCACCCACTGTAGCGAAGCACAGCGCCGCACGCACCACGCGTTGTCTTGGAATCATCAAGTTCATAAAGAATCATGAATCAAGCAGACCCCAGTAAACATGACGACGTCGGCCCGGCATCGGCTGGACGTCGGATATGCCCGCATGTTCCGACGTCCAGCCGAAGTCCAGCCGACGTCGAGCCGACGTCGGGCCGAGATCGTTTGCCGAGGTTGACGAGATCGTTCGTCGTTGGACCGACGGGGTCGACGTCGGCACGTTTATTGGGACAACGCGCCAAAAATATCAACCGGCGGCGGGATTCGAGCCCCCCAGTCGCCGACGTCGGCATGTTTACTGGGATAACACGCCAAAAGCATCAGCCGGCGATGGAATTTGAACCCCGTGTCATTCGAACGCGAGGTTAGTGCGCTAGCCACTACACCACGCAGCCAGCTAACGAACATGGTTTGTTTTGTTGGGTTATGCCCTTTTGGTCTGACAAGACCATTTCAGAGCCGGAAGGATCATAGGATGGAGACATTGGTCTTCTTGGCGAGCACCCTGGGTCCAGTTCATATAGAGTCCCTGGTCCCATTGCTGTTACGTGACACTTATTGGAAAGGGCGACCCCACAATGGATTCATATAGCCACTCTTACACACCTTCACCAACGTTTCCCAAAGTGTCCCTTTGATAAGTGGCACTTTGGCAAAGTGACACTTGCCGACTGGCCTTTCTATATGAACTGGGCCCGGC